TGCTTCTTTATGTTGACATATTGTTCATCGGGTTTCATTAGTCAGATGCTATGTCATATCACATATGGAACATGAGGGAAAGTGACATTAATGACAATCTGGTGACATTCACTACTATGCAACACATCAGGTTAAAAATAAAACAGGGAGAAAAGATCTTTCTTATTTTCAGCAAGGTCTTTTCGTCTTTTCCCTTACTGCTGAGAGAGCTGCGTGCTGTGGATCAGGTGCTAATTACTGGTGGCAAGGATTTGTGGGTAACTCCCTACGCAGGCAGCAGCCCACGCCTGCATTTGTAGGTGGAAGGAAGAGGAGGATTTTTTGCTGAAGTCTTTGTTGCCTCCTAAGTCTCCAACTGTCCAAGCCATTCAATTGTCTGTGCACGCCAGCGTGCCTGGCGCTCAGCACCCCGTGGGTCAGCCCGAGGTGGAGGGGTCTGGCGCACGGGCCGTTGCACTGGCTGAGAAGTAGCTGGGAGGTGACACGGCTTCCACCCAAGGCACTGGCAACCTAAGTATGGGCCTTTCTGTAGTTGATGGTGGAAATCTGTGCTACCAAGGGAAGGCACTCAGCCAGCACCACGACCTCTGATGGCCCCTCAGTCTCAGAGGGAAAGGGTGGGGAGGGGGGCGGGGGCTAAGTGAAGGGGTGGCCCCTCTGGCCTCTCCTCCTCACGCAGAGGAGTTCCTGCTCCGGCATGGAGGGCCCAACTTCCTCACCTTCCTCCGGTGGCTCAGCTGGAAGGACAACCCTGATTCCACAAAGACCCTCAGCGTGGGCAAGGTGGCAGGGGTGGGGGGGCTGGAGATTCCACCAAAGACACTCAGCGTGGGCAAGGTGGCAGACGGGGGCTGGAGAGTCCACCAAAGACACTCACCCTGGGCAAGGTGGCAGATGGGGGGCTGGAGAGCAGACAGTGAATGGGAGGACAGATGCGTGTTCTGAATGTAAGCCAACCCCCCAGTTGTGGGTTCTGTCTTTAAAAATGCGGGAATAAGGAGGTGGCCATTTGGTGCAGCCTCAGATGCTTCTTGAATTCCTACATTGCGTATCAGACTTGCTGGGTTTGCGTCTGGGCCCAGATATGATTCTAGCTCCCTGCTGTGCACACTCATGGGGGAACTGGAGCCCATGCCACCCACATGAGAGGCCCATGTTGAGTTCCCGGCTCCAGATTCAGCCTGGCCCAGCCTCAGCTGTTGTGAGCATTTTAGCAGTGAAATAGTAAACGGAAGGTCTCTCTGTCTGTCTCTGTCTCTGTCTCTCTGGCTTTCAAATAAGTAAAAATAAATAAATATATGTCTTTTAAAATGCGGAAATAAATTGAGCTTTTCACTGAGGATGCTGGTATACTGTAATTTTCTGCGTTTTAAGTCCACGTGCCTTGTTGTGATACTGTAATTACATTAGTCGCAGGATAGCCTGGGCAGCATTTAAATCACTGGCTGTTTGGATTTCTAAGCCCCAGCCTTGGAGAAGGGAGTGGCTCACCCTCTTTCACTGCCACTGCTAACCAACCATAGTGCACCATTGAGGAAGACCTCATGACACTCCCCAAGGTGCTCACACACAAAAATAAGATTAGGCTCAAGACGGAAACTCTCTGGGTTATTGTCCTTCAAAGAAAAACTCTGTGAGGGTAGGTCCACAGACTGCTTCTTAGTTTAGCAGTCCTGTAGCAGGAAGTTCTGGTTTTTATGTATTCATATATTTAAAGTTTATTTATTTGAAAGGAAGAGGCACACACACACACACACACACACACACACGGGGGCTGGAGAGAGAGAGAGAGAGAGAGAGAGAGAGAGAGATCTGTCTTCCGTCTGCTGATGCATTCCCAATGCCCATGCCCATAATAGCTGAGGCTGGACCAGCCTGAAGCCAGGAGCCAGGAACTCTGTCCAAGTCTCCCACATGGGTAGCAAGAACCCAAGTACTTGTTCCATCATCTGTTTCTGCCTCCAGGCACATTAGCAGGAAGCTGGATCAGAAGTGGGAGTGGGGATCGACCCCAGACACTCCAGTATGGGGTGCCAATGTCCCACAAGGTAACCTAACCCACTGAGCCACAGTGAGTCAAGTGAATGTCTACCCTTGCTCTCTGAAACAACATGAAGCTCTCATTTATGTTGTTCACCAATTTCCAGGGGGTAAACCCTCTGATAGGAGCTGGTTTCCAGCTGTCCCGGAGATACCCCTGTGCATGGCATTGGGAAGGGATGAGCACCACTGGCTTATGCCTCACAGTGGCTCACACTTAGAAAATGCAAGCAAAGATGACTGGCACTAGCAGTAGTGCTTGCAAGAGCCTTTGAGGGTGGGATTCTCGAGTTAGATCACTTACAGGCCGGAAGGTAACACGACCTTTCTCTGGTGGGAAGCAGAGTCTTGATAATCCCTGCCATGTGGCAGAATTGCATTTACTTGAGTGATGCATTTAGATGAGATATAAATGAATAGGCTGCCATGACTTGTGGTTTCCGGTATTTGAGAGACAGAGAAATGATCACTCAGTAGCTATGCAAGTAGTTAACTGTAGTTGCATGATACTCATGGATTGAAGAGAGGCTAACCAGATACCAACAAGATAAAGGGGAGAAAATTGGAAAACTGCCAAAGACTCTCATTTCTGAGAGCCAAAGAGAGGAAGACCATGTTGAACTACAAGACCAAGACCTCATTTTAAGACAAACAGAATGTCCAAGATTCCTGCATTTAAGCCTTGATGAGCCTATGCTCGTGTCAGGACCGTGACAGGAAGCAAGGTTTTGTGAGGTGGGGAAAGTCTGTGCATGCTGGAACACTGGGCCCCTGTAACCCCGAACTTCTGTCTGCAGGACTTGTCCGTTCCTTCTTTTCATTGCAATCTCTCTTCCTTGAAGACTGTGCAGCAGTTGGGGTGTGTGGCACAGAAATACTTGTGATCCCCAAGACACGCCTCCCCCTTCCTTCTTAACCACTACAGAAATATCTAGAGTCAGATTCCTCAGTGGCCTGATGGGAAATCATGGCCTAAGCGGGGAAAGATATTATTCATATAAAGTGTTGCCAGCCTGGCTAGTAGGTACTGGCAGAAGCTGTTCGAGCTGTGGGTTGGCTCCAGGAAGTTTGGAAAAAAATCACAGCCTATAATAAGTGGTGGCCAGCACCGTCTTGGCCAAATGTTTGATAAAGGACCATGAAGATCATAGAAACAGAGCTGTTGGGATGGATCTGTAAAGCCCTCCAGACAACCATGTGTATTAGGAAGGCCCCATGACTTTCCTTTCGCTAGGGCAGAAAGGAGTGCACAGGCCACAGAGCATCAGAGCCATTCAGAGGCCCCAGCGTGGCTGATAAGTGTCCGGGCTCCGAGGGTCTGCGGGCTGAGCGGACTCCAGAGCAGCAGCAGTCAGGGGCTGCACCAGCCATTGAGGACTAAACGTGGACACGATTGCTACAGTAGGTGGCACCCACTGAGGACTAAACGTGGACACGATTGCTACAGTAGGTGGCGCCCATTGAGGACTAAACGTGGACATGATTGCTACAGTAGGTGGCGCCCACTGAGGACTAAACGTGGACACGATTGCTACAGTAGGTGGCACCCACTGAGGACTAAACGTGGACACGATTGCTACAGTAGGTGGCGCCCACTGAGGACTAAAGGTGGACACGATTGCTACAGTAGGTGGCACCCATTGAGGACTAAAGGTGGACATGATTGCTACCGTAGGCAAGATCAGAAGTCGACCACAAAACCGCTTCCTCTGTTATGTAGGATGGATAGTGGACCATAGGGTTCCTAGGTGCAAGATACATGTGCAACTGATAAGAATATTAGTCTATATAAAATATCAAAATAGATGAGCTGTAAGCTAATGCCAGTAGCTTCAAGAACCTGCATCCAGCTCCCATATCCAAGGTCATGCTCTGACCCAGAACTCGTGAGTTGAATGAGAAGCTGGGTGTCTGTGAGAAGACCTTTATCATGAGGTTATGCCACAGTGATTTCCAAGATCCTTTCCCACGGGAAGTCGCGTTTGTAGCATTCCACTTAGCAAAAGTGTATAGCCACATCTTTTAAGGATGACTAGCATTCAGAATCTTAAGTGATCCTGGCTGCAGGGGATCCAAAGTACCGTCACATCCCACATATCAGGGAGTCCCAACTCAGGTCTGTCACACTAGTGGATACAAAATCCCACTGGATGGTTAGTTATTTCCTTAGTTCCCAAATGCACGGTTAGTATGGATGCCATCAGCAGGCTACAGTACCCTCGTTCTCTGTTTGAACTGAGGGTAACAGGTGCCATGATCAGGGAGGCCAAGTAGGGGTCCCTCAGCTCCTGACAGTGAAGGGGAGCAATGGCTTCTGTGGGGGTGGAAGGGCAGGTCATTGCCACTGTCAAAGACTTCCAAGATGCAGCAGTGTAGTTTTAGGTTCCATTAGAACTGCACCGAGCTCGTCAGTCTGATCAGTACCAAAACCTGGTGGGTTGTGTGAGATAAAGCACACTATCACAAAAGGGCACAAGGGGCAATCTGAATCTTACATCCTGTGGTTGATGTCGTGTTTCTGGTTTGTGGTATGGCTTTGCATCAGTGGATGCATTTTTAATACCTACCACATAGGAGAATCAGAATCAAATTGTGTTCTCTTGGGATGGACAGTGATATACATTCATGGTATTGCTTTGGGCCTGGGTGAACCCTCCTGTTCTGTGATGGTGCAGTCTGAGTGCTGGACCATGTGGCCATTCCAGCCTATCCTGTTGGCTCATTACATTGATTTTATGCTTATAGGGCATGATGACCAGAAAGTGCCAAGTATTCTGAATGTGATTTAGAGGGTGGAAGATAAAGTCTACAAAGTTCTAGGGTCCTGCCGTACTGGTGATTTTCTGGGGGATTCGTGTATCTGGGGCCTTTCACTCCAAGGTAAAGACATGTTGTGATACCTTGGACCTTCTTCCACTAACAAAGAAGCATGCTTGTCAGGCTTACTGGGTTTTCAACACAGTGTGCACTATATTTGGAAATACTCCCTTGGCTCATTTGTCAAATGACTTGCAGGACTTACAATCTTGAAGGGCCTAGAGCAAGAGAGGCCTGCAGCTGGTCCAAGTGCAATACAAAGACCTTTATCTCTTGCGTTATATAAATCATCAATACCACACTGCTGGAAGTATCTAGCACCCTGTGGAGTCTCTGTCTGGATCCAATATGAGACCTGCAGTCCACATGCCTAGAGTTCCTGCTCAGAGCCGTGCCAGCTGCCGCAGAGGGCCGTGTGACAGCATCTTTTGTCGTGGTCCGGGATCCCGGTGAAGACCAAGCGTCTGACCATGTGAATGAATTGTTCCTCACATGCTGGCTACTGACTTCACCACATTGTGGCTAGACAGGTACGGTAGTAATTCTCCTGGGAGCAGAAAGAGGTGCCCAGTACACGGGGTGATGTGGCCTTGGGACTTGCTGTAGCAGTGGGCGCTGTAGGTCATTCCGGTGATGTTCTCCTGGTAAATGACTCCCACACATGGTCACTAGAAACCGTCTCGAAGATGTCACAGAGGTCTTCCTTAACCTGAGTGGATCTGAGTGGCACAGGGGTGGACTGTGATGAATGTTGTCCTTCCTTCTCCCTGGTTTCCCAAAATCCCTGTCTCCTTTACACGCCCTGTCTCCTAGTATCTGGATCCTTCCGCCATCAGCAAAGCTTCTCTGGGGGCTGTTCCTTGGGCTACTCGAGTCACTTTGAATCCACGTGCGTGCAGCTGGGAGTACCCAGGAGTTTATGTTCCCTTGGTGCAGATCTTAGCCTACGAATGAGAAGTTCAAGTACAAGACTCGGCTACTTTGCCTCAAGTCAGGACAGCCCTCAAGTATACTTTACACTCTGAGTTCTCCTGGCGGCTCGGGCTGAAGCTGCTTGCTGTGGGGTCCTGCGTGAGAGCCCTCCTTTCTTGACCTCCCTGCTTCCGTCTCTAATTCACCTGCGCCTCCTCGATCAGCAGCTGGCTGCGCGGGGAGCCTGGTTCTGCTTCTGGAAGAGCTGCTCGTGACGTTGTCTCTCCCTCTGCCCTGGCATGTGAGGTCCTGAAGGGGCCTGGAGCTTTCCCAAAGCTCCCGGACGTTAATCCTGTGTGCGGCGCAGGGTGCACTGTAGTGGACAATCTCCAGAACGTTCCGGTGCCATTTTAACAAGCCTCCAAGGCTTGCATATAACTTACAGGAGGTGAAATATTTGCTTACTAAAACTGAGATGTGATTTGCCTTTTTTGGAGAAAATTATGGAAGCTGTTCTTTTTAGAAACGTTCATCCTTTATTTTGACATCTTCCGGTGTGATTCAGAGACTACTCATTATACAGGGTCCATTACATTCTTATCAAGGTGAGGAACGACACAAAAAAGGGACGCCTTGTGGCAATACAACTTATTTTAAAGTAAAGTTTGATTTTCAAAGATCTCACAGCATGCAGATGAATTTCCCTTCCACTTGGCGATCATCGTATTCACCGAAAGTTACGACGAGATGATTCATGCGCATCAGCCAGGGATTCACAGTCTTCAGCTCTGAGGCAGGGCCTGATGAGATAACGCACAAGGAAGGAGCGCAATTAGAGCAGCAGACGCAGCTAAGCCTTTGATAAAGGTGGCAGTGCCACCACCACAAAGAGGGGCCGTCGTTACCGCGCTGTTTCCCACCGCAGACATGTTGAAAGATACCTTCTCAAGTGACTTGGGTGTGTGATATAATATATAATATATAATATAATCTGTGTGACGGGAGAGAAGCTGACCTATGTAAACTCACGGTTTTAGATAGCGATGAGACCAGCCCATGCAGCAATGACCGGAAATGCCTTGGGAAGGGAAGTTGCTCCACTGGGTGCAACCAGTGTCCGCCCCGGGCCCCACGAGGAAGTGGGCAGACATGGGGACAAGTGTGGAGAGGCTCTTTGTTCCCGCTGCCGTGGAATGTTTCCGAAGCCCCTCCCTCCCAGTGTCAGTGAATGCTGTGTGCTGCTTCCGGCCTGTGTGAGACCGCCAGCATTCTCTCTCCTCTTCCCAGGCTGGTTGGACACAGTTGAGACTGGATCCCAAGGGGGAGGACTCTGGAGAGCTCAGCTCTCATGACGAGAGTGGAACGGGAGTCAGCAAACGCCTTTGAGCTGGTGGCCGAAGGCTGCTGTTGGCACCACACAGGAAGGCAAGGCTGTTTCCGTGGCCTGCGGCACAAGCATGGTGACCGTGCCTAGTGACAACGTAAGGACTGCTCAAAAGTAGGTCCTAAATGTTCTCCCTAGGACTGAATGGAATGTAGCTGACGCACGGCTATGTTAATTCACTTAATTTAATTTTTCTCAAATGTGTACATACTCCGTTTGCTTGGATTTCAACATTTGTTGCATCACAACATATTTGCATTTAAATTGCATTCTCAGGGGGTCGGCGCGGTGGCTCACTTGGCTAATCCTCCGCCTGCGGCGCTGGCATCCCATAGGCGCCAGGTTCTAGTCCCGGTTGCCCCTCTTCCAGGCCAGCTCTCTGCTATAGCCCAGGAGGGCAGTGGAGGATGGCCCAAGTGCTTGGGCACCTGTACCAGCATAGGAGACCAGGAGGAAGCACCTGACTCCTGGCTTCAGATTGGCGCAGTGCCGGCTGTGGCAGCCATTTTGGGGGTGAACCAACGGAAGGAAGACCTTTCTCTCTGTCTCTCTCACTGTCTAGAACTCTACCTGTCAAATAACAACAACAAAAAAAAGATTTAAAAAAATAACATTCTCAGAAAGCTTTTGGAAGTAACTTCATGTGTTAAAAATCACATTATACTCTACAAATATATACAATTATTGCTAGTCAATAAAAATTTAATTTCAGTTTTAACAAGAAAATAATCGTAATCCTAGGCTGTTGACATAACAGGTCTGGTTCTGCAGAATCCGAGCACCTGGACCTGGACGCTGATCCGGGTCCTCCAGCTGCCCTCTGCCCTCTCTTTTCTTTTCTTTTCTTTTTTTTTTTATTTGACAGGTAGAGTTATAGACAGTGAGAGAGACAGAGAGAAAGGTCTTCCTTCCGTTGGTTCACCCCCAAAATGGCCGCCACGGCCGGTGCTGCGCTGATCATAAGCCAGGAGCAGGTGCTTCTCCTGGTCTCCCGTGGGGTGCAGGGCCCAAGCGCTTGGGCCATCCTCCACTGCCTTCCTGGGCCACAGCAGAGAGCTGGCCTGGAAGAGGAGCAACTGGGACAGAACCCAGCGCCCACATGGGATGCCGGTGCCGCAGGCGGAGGATTAACCAAGTGAGCACGGCGCCGGCCCCACTAACGCCTTTCTGTCTTGGCTTCCTTCCCATCTGCAGGGAGCCCCTGGCGCCCCCGAGTTCTCTTTCATTCCCCAAACCAAAACCCACTGAGGAATTAATTTAGACTACGGTGTAATGAGGCTTAATTTATTGTATATTTCTACAGTACTTTTTAAAAGGATAAAATTTAATGCAAACAAATAAATAATGGAGAATGGAGCTTCAAGACAGACCAAAAGTGTCTGGTGGAGTGCAGTTCTCTGCACGACGCTGAGATCACTGGTTCCTCCGTAAACACTGGCAGGGCGTTGAGGTGACAAACCAGCCATCTAGCATCAGACAGAACCAGGCACAGGCCCTCTTATTGTCAGGAATCTGCGGCATCAGAAAAGTCACATAAATTACCTAGACCTCAGTTTCCGCGTCGGTACAATGAGCCAATGCAGGAAACTATGGTTGTTACGCAGATCTCATTGATTGTACCAACACTTAGTCGAGCGTCTAATAGTAAGCTCTCAATAAATGCTTTTTCTCTTTTGTGTGGTCAGAGCCTTGCAGGATATTTTCACTAATGCTTTTATTAACAAACACATGGGGAGGAGAGAGAGAGAGAGAGAGGGAGCGAGAGACAGAGAGAGAGAGACAGAGAGAGCGAACTCCCATCCACTGGCCTACTCCTGCAACAGATGGCAGCTGGAGCTGGGCCAGAGCCGAAGCCAGGAACTCCGTCCAGGTCTCCCACACTGGGGGCAGAAACCCGCTTACGTGAGCAATCTCCCTGCCTCCCAGGACGTGTGTTAACAGGAAGCTGACGTCGGGGACTGAGGAAGGGCATCAAACCTGAGCTTTCTAATGCGGGACACAGGTGTCTGACTTCGGGCGAAACACAAGCCTCGATTCGATTGTTTTAAAATCCATGGTCTATGTGTCTTCCACCCACATTTTCATGCTTTCCTTCCACGGGGACTAAACACGTAGCCCGTATATTGCAGTCCCTTCTGGCCATGGTGTGGGCGCGTTCTCTGCATCCCAGGTCAGTCCCCCGCAGTGGTGCTACACCATCCACTCACCAGAGAGTGAGCTTGCTCACCAATCCCGCGGGTAAGAAAGCTTTATTCGAAATGCGTGTACTGTGCATGTGTGTGTACCGGACCACGTCAGCGAGCCCACAGCAGAACAGAGTTGACTGCCATGGAATTAGAAGTCAAACCTTTTGACCTGTCTTTGGGTTTGCGATTGTAACCACAGTGGGATATAGTGGAGGATTTTGTGCTTTTGGGGACAGAATTGTGAAGCTGAAACAAGGCCAGGTTCACTGGCTACTTGACCCTGTACCGTGGGGTGATCGTGCCTTGCTATCATGCTGATACAACATTGTGGAATGCCATACACCAGGCAGTGCTCCCGGGCTCACCACCTCTGGGAAAGTCGGCCTTGTAGAAGGAGCCGTGGAGCGGCTGAGAGCGGCTACGAGTCATGGGGACTTTAAGACAGTCCATTTCAGTTGGTTCAAGCCAGAATTGAGTTGATGTTTTTAGAAGTATTAAGTTTAATCACTTGAAAATGATTCATTGACACAGTTTTAGAATTTGCAAGGAAGACATTTTCCCAGTGGCTCCCATGATCAGATGTCCCGGTTCACACTCGCCCTTCGGGGGACCTGAGGCCAAGTGTCCTTGGAGCGGCGGGTGGACATGGAGGGGTCCGCTGCGCACGACCAAGGGGCTGCTTCTTCAAACCAAGCGCCTCTGAAATTTATTTTCAAAAGCAACAAATGAGCTTACGTCCGTGTTCCTGTGGATTCCTACATTCTTAAGTGACTTCCCTTCTAGAAGAAAATCTTTCTTTTCTGTGTGTGTGTGTGTCTAGAATGTTAGCCAAACCACAGTTAAAATCCATAAAGGACTGTTACTTTATTATGACCCAATTCAATGCAGGCTTAAATAATCCAAGTTTTTTTTGTGTGTGTTTTCCAGAGGAATTCTAATTAATCTGGGCCCACATAGAAAGCTTCTACTGTGGTTTTAGCAGAACATGAACGGGTAGTAGTGAAAGAAAAAACTTCTCTAAATTGGAAGGGGGCCTATGACGATAACATAAGACTCCCAGGTTTGGGGACGGCCGAGTTGCGCCCGTGGAAAACTCGTCGCAGCCACTAGTCAGGGAAGCAGAGGGCTTCTCCATCGTAGCTTCTCAAGAACCACGGAGAGCAAGGAGTGGCACCACGAGTGTTTGGTGAGCAGAGTGGTCAGCTGTGGCTTGGCACGCAGTGCTGAGCGGTCACCGTCAGGACACCTGTGGGTTGAACCGGAGAGCAGGGCTGTGTCCCCCGGAGCCTGCACACTTGACGAGGAGACCTTACAGAAGTGCCAGATGGATTCATGGCATGTTTAACAGTGCTCTTGGAGGAAAGACGTTTCCCCTTTTCATTTATGATCGAGCTAAGCTTTCTTTACATGATTTTCATTTTGCACGAAATTGTTTGGAAAATGTTGATGGAAGAGAGCTCTTTTTCCTGATTTGCCTTCCATTCCCATGTCTTGGGAGGGTTTTTCAAGCTCTCTGTTCGAATGGAAATAGAGTTCAGCAGTTTGGGAATTTTCTGTTGCCCACAAGAATCCCCAAACGAGTATTTGTGCTGTCATACCCTGTACATCACAGCAACCTCAAGTCCACGGTGAAGCGCGTTCCCAAGCTACAGCCCTGCAGATCTCATCACGGCGGCAGCTTTCCAGGGCTCAGCTGGCCGTAGCACACCCCGCGGAGGGCCTTGCACCCTTGGGAACCCAGCCCATCCCAGTCCCAGACAGAAACTGCTCACTAACCCAAGACCCAACGTGATCATAATAATGTTTATATTACTCACTCCAAGGAAACAGCATCTTAGGTTTGAAATTGCAGCTCCCTGGCCGGGTTAATCTTCCGAGACTGGAGGCATGGGTGGCTGCCGTACTGAATTAGAAGCACCAGCTGGAACCCAGTTGTGGCTCTGCCAGCTTGTGGTTCAGGCAAACCACAACTTTCAGTGGCTCGGGAGAGACGCACCGCCCTCCTTTCCCAGTGTCTTACTCCGGCTTCCTAACGCTCCCACTTGTTGCTTTTCCTATGACTCACGAAACAACTTCCTTTCATACCTGCAAAGTGGTGGCAGGACTCTCTCATTGAGCTTTGTGTTTGCCCTCCAGTGATTGTCCAGTTCCTATTCCTGCCCCGCCCCTTGTTTAACTGCTTATCCCAGAGCTTTCACAAGGGCCAAGACAGAGCAGGGAGACCACGTGC